GAAACAAGACACAGTGGTCCTGCTAGAAGGGCAGTGGGTGTGTGCAGCCTGTTCACTGAAGAGCTGCACCCAGCGCCTGGCCAGGGACGAGGCCACTGGGAAGCTTGTTAGTGGAAGCCTAGCAGAGGTCACTGCCGCTGTCAGGGACACTTCCGAAGGGAGTGTCCTCAGTGCTTCCACAGTTCCCAAGCTCTCCATGAAGCTGTGTGACTGTGGCTGGTGCTGGTCATAGCAAGGTGGTCAGGAACAGATCTGGGAAGACAGGAGGACAGAGCCACCACCCCGATTTAGACTTGCAGGTGCTGCCCCACGACCTCCATCAAAGACCCTGTAAGGAGCCAGGTCCTCTGGGGAAAAGGTAATAATAACAGGGAAATGATACTTCTAGTAAAATATGAAACAAAACAAATTTTAAAACACATAAAACTCTGGTAGGCTGAAGCAGGAAGATTGTAAGGTAGAACCTGGCCTGGGCAATTTAGCAACTTAGTGAGACCCTGTCTCAAAGTAGAAAAGGTTGGGGATATAGCTCAGTGCAAAGGCCCTGGGTTTAATTCTCAATACTGCCAAAAAAAAAAAAAACCACAACAAAAAAAACAAAAACAAAAAAACAAAACCCAAACACACACATACACACACACACACACACACACACACACACAGGAACATATACGGAAGGAAGGAAGGAAAGAAGGAAAAATAAATCCAAAGCCTTCTGGTTCTGTTTTAATCATCTCCTATACTATATAAGTCAGAACCGGCCAGGTGTGGCGGTGCACATCTGTAATTCCAGCACTCAGGAGGATGAAGCAGGAGAATCATTGTGAGTTTGAGGCCAGCCTGGGATACATAGTGAGTTCAAAGCCAGTCAAACTACATAGTGAGACCTCATCTCAAAAAATAAAATAAATAAAAAATAAAATAAAGTCAATGTGGTGGTGAGTTTTGACTTCTTTTCTTTTCTTTTTTTTTTTGGAGACAGGGTCTCACTATGTAGTTCAGACTGCCCTAGACTAGCCAGACCTCTAACTCACAGCGATCCTCCTGCCTCAGCCTCCCGAGTGCTGGGATTACAGGCCTGTGTCACCATGCCTGGCTGCTTGCCTTCTTTTCCTTCATCCTTTAGGTCACATCAAAGAGTCTCTCCCACTCTTGGCCATGAGGGAATAGCAGGGAGGAGATTCATTGTCCCGTGTATACGCTGAGAAGTGGGAAAATGTTGGCAGTGACACTGCAGGCCCTGGGCAGCTGGCTGACTGGGCATACACCCTTTGGATGGCGACCTACAGTGAAGGGGTCCCCACACTAGTCCCACCACTCGGGGTCCCCCCTGCATGCCCCACTGGGGCCAGGGACGCGGACTCCAGAGAGGACAGGG